GGCGTCGAGTCGCAGTCCCTGTACGCCACCGTTAGCATTGGCCCGCCAACCAAGCTCAACATGTTCGTAAGCCGTCTTCAACCCACCTCACAAATGTCGTCTTCCGTCATGGATCCGGGAACGTCGCTCTTGTTTTTGAAAACTAGCAGGCTTGCTCCGGAAAGGCGCTGCTCTTGTTAGTCAGTCATCAGGAAGGATTATGCTTGTGCGAACCTCTTCCAGCAGCAACCCCGCCAACTCGTTCCGACAATCGTCTATTCGCTCGCGGTCGGTTGCATCAACAACCCAGATGAGCGTGTCTGTCTTCTCGAAATAGTTCTTCCAGTACGTGCGCAACGTCTTCTGGCCGCCGACATCCCCTGCTTTGTCAGTACAGCATTCTCCGGAGACATGCAGTTGCATTACATATATTCAGTTTGTATCTTTCCCGTTAGTTTCGTTCCGCAGGCTGCGCCATTGTACATACCCATCGTACTCAATCGTCTTGATGATAAAACCGAGTGTAGGACTGACGCTGTTTACATCTTCGTTCATGATCTTCTTCACTATAGTCGTCTTTCCTGCATTGTCAAGACCACTGACGCGGTGAGCTTTTGGTTTAGAGAACAATCTTGAGATACGCACAGCATAAGAATGCGCATCTCCTTGTCCTTGAGACGCGCTTTTCGCAATATCGACAGCATTTTGTGCTTTTCACTTTCCAAGTTTTGTCTTGTTCGTTAGGCAGTCATTGGGATGAGTGGAGCTCACCAGTCAAGCGGCTAAACTGTTTACGGACGCTTGCACACGACGGCATGTCATGCTACAGCACCAACGTCGTAACCACATCGCTCTTCAGAAAGCATGGCCACAAATTTATCGAATTCGGTAAGTTACATGGCATGGGGTGGAAGGGGGCGTGAACAGAGCATTCCATCGAAGAATCGATTCCCTTTTCTTCATCATCGGCGGCGTGTGTTTGCTGTCTTAAGGATACTGAGCCTGTCTCGATGTTCCGACAGTAATCGTACCTATACTGCTTGCAAAAACCGCCTTCCTTCCTTGTTGTGCACTATTACCAGCCACGTGGGATGTGTCACAGCAAGACAGAACTCCAGAATGGGAAGGGGGTGAGAGGGAATCGGCTTGCTCTCACCCAACATACTAGGCAGCTTCGGCGACGAAGCTATAGAACACTGAACCAAGGGCTTCAGACATCAAGGTTCCTTGACTCCTCTTTTCTCTAGTCCTTTCTTCTGTTCCTTTGAGTATCCTCTCGGGCCCTTGCTTGTCTCTTCTCTGTTGGACGTGTCGAACCCGCACTATGAGCCGAACGGCACGCAACTGGTGTCCGCGCAGCACCCTGCCGCCGCTACCGCTATTGATCGAAGTGGACGACTCCTCGGCCAATGAATCCCACGTCAACAAGGAGCTGAAGAACGAACCCATGACCTGGCAGCAAGAAAAGGACTTCAAGGGTTCTCCTGTAAGTCAAGGCGCAACTAGCCTCCCATATCGACTTCAGACCGCTCCGAAAATCCTGCATATGAAAATCATCTTTCCCTCAACCTCAACCTTCTCACCTCACTTGCAGCTAACACGGGACAGGGCCTCAATAAACCTCAGTCTGGACGTCCTCACTGGCAATCGTTGCCTTTCGAAGAACTTCCCACAGTACATGTCGGTGCCGACAATAGCTGGGTAGCTCAACAAGCAGAACTCTCCCTTCCGACTCACCTACCTGAGTTGCACATTAACAACGCGATCAAGAAACAGAAGCCACCATACAAGCGGCGCTCCCGCAACAAGAAGAAGAAAACTGGAGACGGCGAAATGATTGGACCACCTGACAGTACGGCAAGGATCTACGTCCCCCCTCATCTGCGCAATCGTAGCTTTGTCGACGCTGGAAAGGCAGACTCTGCTCACAGTAGCGGTGTTGCTGTCAGCGCATCACCTACTGCATCCAACCAGTCCAAGGACACCATCATCAGCAAGACTGATCCTGTCCCGTAAGTCTACTCAAGAGCGCCTTGCCGTCGTGTCCTGTATTTATTAACACATCTGTAGTAACGACGTAGCTGATCAGCACCAGTCCCCATCCTCATCAGGAAAGACCTCGCACGATCCTAGACAAGACGAGAAGCGCGAATCCGCAATGCCTGAGCCTTTCGTTTACGTTGGTTGGGACGAGCCTAAGGAAGACCTTCCAATTGCGAAGAAGAACCCCGGAAACCCACGATGGGCTCGAGGCCCACAGCCATACAAGAAGACAGTTTGGCCCAAAGCGAAAGATATGAAGTACACACCTTCTAGCAGCAACAGTGACGGCGGCGTTGACTTCAAGTCTAATAGCGACGGAGACCCACACTACGACATCAAGAAGCTGGTAGACTGGAACGGCGATTGGCTGCCTCCTGAGATGTGGTCTGCCCGCAAGGGCTACACGGATCGCCATTTTAGTGCGCACATAGAGCAATGGTGTAACACACATCCTCTAGATTGGAACAACGGAGTCACTCCCTACTTCCCACCCGATACATTTATCCAGGGTAAAGAGTTGGCACCTCGTTACTGGCTCGAGGTGAAGGTGGGCGGTGAAAGTCTCAGAGAGTTCTGGAAAGGTCTCGTAAATCCAGAGAAAGAGCCGAAGCCTCTAGATGCGAACGATCTCACTGACTATATGCCCTGGTGGGAGCTCTATGAGGACGCGGTTTACACAGAGACCATGGATGATGACGAGAGCCACAACCAGAAAATGGTCACCCATCCTACTAGCTACCTCCGCGCCCTAGACGTTCCGGATGCCAGAGTTAACTTCAATGATCCTGAATACCCGTCGGCATCTTGGATGCTGGCTTCTGCACAAGAAAAGGTTGAAGAGAAGAACAAGCGCGCAGCGGAAAAATATCGCAAGTTGATGGCAAAGCGGAGTCGCCCTGTTCCAGAGTCGAAGTACCCTACTCCGCAAATGGCAGACCGCCGGCTACATCCCGAAGCAAACATTTACATTCGACCTGTGAAGCCGGCCGATGTCGAGGGCATTTCGGTAAGTGGAATCATGCCCCCCAAACACGTTCGTGAACCTTCAAGGTTAGAGCGACAATGAATCTGAACTAACACTGCCTAAGGAGATCTACAATTACTACATCAGCAACACTATTTTCGCGACTGAGTTTGACGAACGTACCATAGTTCAGATGGCTCAACGAATCTCTGATATTGTGAACGCCGGTCTTCCATACTTGGTAGCAGTCTCCAAGAGCAACCGATCAAGGGCTAATCCAGGATGTGTTAGCGAGAAGATAGCTGGATTTGTCAATCTGGACGACTATTGCGGTCAGTCGAGCTCATACCGTTATACGTTTGAGATGGAGTTGTTCGTCCACCCAGGGTTCGTTTCTAAGGGGATCGGCAAATGCCTCGTGGATAGACTCCTCGAGATGGTTGATACCAGCTACCGCGCCCGTGGTGGATATGAGTACGTCAACGATGATACATACCTTAAGACTGGACCTGCGAGGGTCATAAAGACCATTTTACTCAATGTCCAACACGAGAATGGCGAGGACTTGGAAGCTGATTGGCGAGGCAAATTCTTGAACGCCTGCAAGTTCTTCCGCGTCGGTCGATTCCCGAAAGTAGGCTACAAGAACGACAAGGTCCTGGACACTTCGATCTTTGCGCACCAGACCAAGGAGGATATCGATCCAAGCGCTCGTCCCACTGTCGCCGGCTGAACGTGATTGTACATACAATCGACGCCAAGTAAGTCACGTATAACAATTCAGAAACACCCACTAACATAACATCTACCAGCCGCCAGCTTGATGATCTGCCATAGCGTCAACCGTCAAAACCCCTAAACCACCACATCGATGCAGCACGGTCGAGTGTGTCTACTCTCTAACAAACCAAAAGTGTTTCCCGAACTGTCTTTTTTGCTTTGCGGTACTACGAACTTACGGTGGGAAACGTTTCATCATAATGAACCAGGATCTTCATATTTCTTCAAGTTCTTCTACTGGGTATAGTGTCATGGTAATGGTGGCATCTGGCGGAGTCCTCTTCAATACGAATACTTGCTTCCACAAATGCTCCAATCCTTCGCGTAGTGCGACGTCAATGGTGATGTCGTCAACCCCCTTGTCGCATACCCCACCAAAAGGAAGGGGAGCGCGCCAAATCATGCCCACCCATGACATGTGACGTCACAACCCTCCCCAAAGCTTGGAAACGCGCTGCGTAACCTCACGCAACTAACATAAAGGCCATTCTCTCCAGACCCCTAAACGACTAACTCTAGAAATTCGTTAGCTCCTACCACGTTCCAATCACCAAAGTAGATAAAGAACAAACATACATCTCCAAGTATTGTACGCGCGGACCAAAAGTTATCCAACATGTCAGACAAGAAGCAAGAAGAGCAGCCTCAGCAACAGCACATCCAGACTGAACCCCAGGATGACGAACAAGAACAGAAGAAGGGCTCTGGAGGTCTTTTGAGTACAATTGGAGATCCCATCGGTATGTAGTCTCGTCATCGTTATCAGCCTCCTGCCTAGCTCTCTCTACATACAGCTCTCTCCTCCCATGCCTGTCCTAATATGCGTAAAGGAAACGTCTTAGGCACAGCCCTCCGTCCTATTGGCGCACCCTTAGAAAAAGGCGTAACTGGCCCACTTGGCAACGCCCTCGGCGGCACCACACGACCCGCTCTCGGTCCCTTGCTAGGCCACGAAGAAGAAAGATCTGAATTGCTAGGCGGCAAGAACAAGGATAGCTATGAGAGTACACCGGAAAAGATTGCAGGAAAGGAGCAGACAGGGCAGAACCCTCTGGGCTTGGATCAAACAGGACGGTGGGGATTTGAGGACGAGAAGAAATAGACCGAGAGAAGAGCAAGTGTAGGATATGTTTTGTCAAAGTTCTCAGTTTTGTGTTATTAAGGAAAGAAATGGCGGTACGGGTATATCCTTTGAAGAACTCCCAAACTCCAATGATCTAGTGACCCGAGATGATCAAAACATCTCACTCATACCACTCTCGCCCAACACTCCTTCTTCGTAAAGACTCTGGTCCCTGCCTTCCGTTTCCTCACCATCATTCGTATACTCCTGCCTCCTCTTCCCTCTAAACGTATCATCCAACCCCTGCACTGTCCCCACACTATCTCCATACCCCAGTCCATCCTCTTCTACTTGTTCCCCCTCCATGTCCTCGTCCGCCTCAGCCTCGATTCTACTCACACTCAGCTCAGGTATCGGTGTCCGCCCTGTAAGAATATCGAATAGACTATCATCTGAATCCCCTTGCTCATCCTCATCATCACGCTCAAAGCGCAGAATCTTGTCTTTGCCCTCCGGCCACACCAGTACGTGTGCTTGTTGATGGGCAAAGATGAACGCTGGTTTCTTGTCTGGTGGAGTGAAAAGCCAGGATATTGTCCAGCGGGGTGGTAATGAACCAGCTGGTTTGGTGATTTGTGGGGATAGGGTTATTATGGCGGGTGGGTGTGGGAAATGCGAAGATGCGAGAGCCGTTGAGGAAGACGAGGTCGAAGACGGGGGTATGTGGGATGATGCGGCTGTATACAGGTATACGGTAGGTTCGTCTTGAGTGGTTTGTATGATTAGACGATGCGGATCGGTAGGGTGCCAGAGCAGGTTCCTAATAGGACTGTATTGGATTAATATACAGCGCGGTCGGAGACTTGTCAGATCCCATATCCACGCGGTACACGGCGTGCTGTCGTCGCGTGTTGCACACAACGTGCCGTCTGCGTTGAAAGTCAACATGCCGATGCCTTGCTTCATGAGCCCTGTTTCATTCTTATCCAAGGCAGCTTTCGGAGGGGTCACAGGCTGCTGAGTGGTCGTATAGCTGCGATTGCCTTGGCCGTCGACATGTTCGCTGTATACCGGCGCACTAGGTACATCGATGACAGGTGTGTGGTCGAGGAAGACGATGGGTGCGAAGGTACGTGTAGAGAGGATGCGAACGCGACGGTCCCACCCACCAACTGCCAGACGTTGGTTCCCGGGTAGCCATTCGAGTGTCTTGATACCCAAGCCCTCAACATGCCACTCGCTAACGTCGTCCGAGGGTTCGCGGGTTATGGTGCGATACAAATGTCCGTCGGCAGTGTAGATGTGCAGTTTATAACCAGCAGAGGCCGTGTCCCAGACGGCCAACCAGCGGCCGTCACGGCTCCATCTGAGGCCCGCTGCGTCTGAAGTTGTCAACTCTACACGATTGAGAAGCTTGTATGTACCCGGCGCCAAAAGAAGTAGAATATCAGCGCCTGCTACGCGACATAGTAGAGCCAAAACACCACCTCTTCTCCTTCCCGCGCCTGCCTCTGTATCCTCAGAAGGGCGATATCCCCACCCCTTGCCGTCTTTACCCAGAAACTTGGGGTCACGTATCTCCACGGCTCTCCCAGTTTTCAGACACCATATCTTGACGGATGCGGTGAAGTCACTCCAGACAAGTACTTCATCCTCATTGGCGCCAAACTCGGCGTGTACGTTCTTGCCCATGCCGCCTGAGCCATTGCTAATGATGGCGTTCCACCTCTCGTCTCGAAGATCGTATACGCGTGTTGTGTCATGATCGGATAGCAGGACACGGTTCGAGCAGGGGCGTGGTGTACGCGACGATCGGCGGGGAGGTGTTGAGTTGGGTGAACGGCTCGAGATCGAGGTCGCTAATGGCGGTGTAGTAGGAGGCGACCAGGCGATCTTTGAGCTTCTCAGATTCTGACTAGAAGGTATCGCTATGCTCTGGACAATTTCCAGCGTGGTGAGACATCGTATCTGCAAGCGAGCGCCGTTGAGGCAAGCAACGTGTGTTGCCGTCGGCGACGGGACAGAGACATTGGTTGCTGGCACTGGTCAGTAGCGATCGCATACTATGGCTTCGTATCATGGCTTGCATTTGAATTTTGTCGTCACGAATATGTCTTCCATCTTGTCGGTAGGCTTGTTGGATGCGACGAGAATGTTTAGATTCGGTAAACAAAGGGCAGGCGCGGAGGCTGGCCAATAGGAGTTCAAAGTGGCCGCAATTAGCGTGCTTGTCGTATGTGAAGCGCGAGCATGCCCACCAAGGAGCGATGGAAACTCTCATGTCTACCCAGGTAAATTTACCAGAGCTATGTGAATTTTGTTCCACGATACATAGAAAATATGTCCCTATACAAATCCCAACCGTAACAACAGCGAGGGTATCGGCGTGCACTTCCAAATCTACCAACGAAACGCTCAAAAATACGCCATCATTCGTCCATGGGTATATCTTAGATACGGATCCAATCTGAGAGCCCAATGCTGCTATAGAGAAGTGAAGAAGGAAATCATCCAAACGCTTGCTTGCTAGATCGCTCAATTCAAATCATCCACCTCGTCGTCGTCACCACTCAAGTGCTGTACACTGGAGCCTTGATCAAGATGCTCTTTCCACGAATCTGTACCGCGACACCGACGGCCATGCGCACGCGTGGTGGTGGAGACTCATCTTTTGGTCCCCCGGAGCTGCCCGGTGGATGTTGCGTAAGACTTTGCTGGCTGCCACCTTGACCGAGAGACGATTCTCGCTTGCCCAGGGTGGCAGGAGAAGCCGTCGCCTTCTTTGATGCACCAAATCCGAACATACCGCGCTTCTTATCTTCTTTTTGCGGCTGGCCTCCTTGTAGCTGTGCTTGCTCTTGTTCGGCAATGGACATGTTGTCGTCAGGTCTAGATGCCATGCTTCTGATCGAAGCTCTATCCGCGTCATCCAACTCCATAATGGGTGCTGTTAATGCGGGGATGCCGGATTCCAGCTTCATAAAGTCGGCGACGATACCGTGACCCGGAGGGAAGTACTCAATATGTACTTCGCGGCTCTCAAGCGGTAGATGCTGAGCAATGCTGATGGCCAGTTCGATGATCATAGGCACGCCTCCGTTGAGGTCTGCCGGCGCAGGGTCGTTCAAGTGCATCTGGAGAGACGCGATGAGTTTCTCATTGAGTGTTTCAGTCAGCGTCTCGCGATTGGAAGTAGCTTGTGGTGCTCTCAACACATCTGCCAGACCTTCCAGTGTCGCCAGCCGCCAGTTGATGATTTTCGCGGCAAGTGTGTCTTCGTCTTCGGTGCTGTGGCAAGGCGGCGAGAACTTGCGGATATTCGAAACGATCGATTGCAGTTGTGTCGAAAAGCCCGGCTCTAGGTCCGGATGGAAGTACTTGTCAAATATGTTTTCTACCAACCAGTGCGAGATGAAGGCACGGCCAACAGCCGTCATCTCCTGCTTGCCTGTCTCGACGGCAGTTTTGTTGACCACGACATGCAACCACTGCGGTATGGTTTTCCAATCCTTGCGGATGGAGAAGGATAGCTGTGCGATCAATCCATCCAATCGATTGAAGCGCGTTGCGTATTCGCTGTCGTCCCAAGATGTGCGGGAGAGCGACAAGCGCTGATTTGCGAGGGTGTTTTGCAGCTGGTGAACCTGTGACTGTTGCTCGAAGAAGTATCGCTTGACCTTTTGGTACTTTTCGCCTGTACGAAGTTAGGTGAGTCGGTTCATTGGATGGGAATCCACTTACGCAAAACATCGTGCTCCTTTTGCAGCTTCTCGACATCGTCCTCTGTCATATCGGCGACGGAGGTTCTTGGCGGAGGCGTTGCCCGTCCCATTTCTGAAACCTGTTGGCTCTGCTTCTCGCCGCGATATGGCTGCCCCTGTGAAGCTGTTGGTACGACGTTAGCGTCGAATGTTGCGAGGCCCGGCGAGACAGGCGGCTGACCGAATGGCTGACCTTGAGCGGGAGGCTGTGAAAGTAGGGATGACTCTCGGGACGGTTGCCCTGGCTGCGGTTGGCTGCCGTCGACCACTTTTCTTAGCGTGTTCCTCGCATTGCTCTGAGCACTGGGTGCCATGTTGTCCTGCGACTGGTGTGGGGGTGTTATGTTTGTCGGTGGGAGATCGGACGGTTGCGTGTGCTGGGCGTCGTATGTCTGGTAGGACGGCGGCTGGAGGGGAGACGGCGGGGCCAGCTGGTGGGACGGAGGGGGCTGGCGTTGTTGCGACTCGATCTTCTGGGCCTCTTGCGCAATCTGGGGATGCTGTGAGGCTGGTCGCACAGATTGAGGCTGTTGCTGTGGGTCTTGGTGCGGCTGAAGCTGCTGCGCAAACTGCTGTTGCTGTGGGTAAAGAGTGTTTTGGTGGGCACTTTCTAGCGACTGCTGGTACAGGTGGTAAGTTTGCGGGATGTCCTGTGGTACCTGCCCACCTTGGCCATGCGGCTGAGCGTTCTGGAGGAGGGGGCTTGGCACGTTTTGCGGGTTGAAGGCCTGGTAGTCGGTCGCGGGCTGTGGGGGTGGGGGTGGAGCGGCAGGCTGGTAGGTTTGGTATTGGTGTTGCTGGTGGTGGTGGTGGTGTTGTGGGTGTTGTGGGTGCTGTTGATGTTGTTGTTGTTGCTGTTGTTGCTTCTCAGAGCTGTATTGATCTACCCCGCCTTGGGTCGAATAGCTGCCCTCGGTGCTTACCCTGCCAAGTGGGGGCCGATTGTACTGTTCCTGGTGCGGCGGCGGCACAAATTGTTGTTGAGGCTGCTGCAGCTTCTGCTGGTATTGGATGTCCTTGGGCGGCACCTGGGGCGTCTCGTTGTCGTCTTTCTGGAGGAAGGGGTCGAGGTTGTCCTCGTCCTGCTCGTTGGAGGCGGGCAGGTGGGACGTCGAGCCTTGGTGGTGCTGATGCCACTGCTGCGCACGACTGTCTTCCTGCGCTTGGTACTCCTGCACACGGGGGTCGCTCTTCCGGACGGATTGGCGTCTACCCAGGCCGTTCTTCTGTGCTTTGGCCTCCTGGTCCTTGTGGCCCTTGACTCCGGCTGCAATGCGACTGCGCAGCGACTGCTTCTTGGGCTCGGGCACGTATGCCGCGGGCGAGGGCTGGGCTTGATAGGCACCGCGGTGAGGCGACTCGAGAGCAGATGCGGGCGGAGGCCCAGCTTGTTGCTGGTAGTTCTGCACCGGCGGCGGCGGCGATGACGGCGACGACGACTGGCCCAGGGAGAGATGGGCGCTCAGCCTGTGGCTCGTGGTGCGCTGGGGAAACTGCTGCTCCCTATATTGAGGCTGCGGTGGTTGCACAGGCGGCTGCTGAATCTGCACAGGTGCTGGCTGGCTGCCGTCTGGATTTTGGTATCGCTGCTGGCCTGCGACCTGTTCGTTCACTGACAGCGCTTGACCGTCAGCCGGGGCGACGATTGGCCGGCCAAAAGGTTCCTTACCAGATGGCACAGGCGAATGCTGCCCTGACGAGGAATTGTCGACAGATTGGTGCGACCGGTTCGACTTGGTCCATGGAAAGTTAGGCATCGCAGTGTTGGCAGCTTCAAAGCTCCGCCAGCAAGCAGGTTGTCGATGGCGGGGCGGAGACAGACGCGCTCAGCTAATAATAAAACAAGACTGAGCAGCCGTCAACTACGCCGGGTAAGACTGCATTGCGCGCGGTTGGACAGCCTCAACTCAAGTACAATGCATCGAGCTCCATAGATGCACGCCGTAGGCTGATCAGCCCAAGCCCTGCCGCACGTGCAGGCCGGCGGAGCAAATGGACTGACATGGACAAGGCAACACCAGTCCCGCTCCAGCTAACACCGGAACAACTTGCTGATGTCGCGACATCTGGTGCCGTGGCAGTGCTGCCTCGGCCACTGCTACTGCCCGTCAGACCACCCAAAGGCCGTCAATGTGCTTCTAGCTATTCGACGTTTCATCCGTCCCGTCTTGTGGCTGCCACTCCCGCGCCTCAGTAACACGTCCAGACAACAAACACGTCTGGATCTAGATACGTATGCTGTGCCCAAATCCTGGCGGATGGTAACCTGCAACAACAGCACCAAGTGGGGACTACAGGTCTTAGTGTAGGCGGCGTTGCGAGCCTTCTTTCATTAACCTGTCTGGAGCTGCAGGCGCCCCTGCGTACCAGCTAGGGTGTGCATACATCGCCTTCCCAAGATCATACCAAAATACTGATATGCTTCTCAACACCTCTCCTCGTACATTTCTCGCGATGCAAAGTTTGACTCTCTGATGGTCACATTGCCACATGTCTGAGGAAACGAATGCCTCAGGTAACAAATTGTATCAAAACCCTCAGTGACTACCTGAGCGAGCAAACTTGAATACGGGCCATAACTGCATGCTGCTTCCTCAGCTCTGGCAAACAACATGCGGCTATTTTTGGCGTCTTACATGCCCTAACCTCGTTGGACTAGCTCGATATCGCTTCGGTTGTGATGCCTGTGTGAGGTTCCCTAAACGTCCGCTATTACACCACTTCTGTACAAACGTCGAAAAGCTGACTGTCAGCCACTTCTGCAAGCAATTTACTAAAACTCAAATTCTGGCATTTACGGAATTCACCGGCACTGTTCGGTCATATTTGGCTGCGACCGGACAGCAGGTCGACGCAAAGGTACCTAAGCATGTCGGTCGAAGCGGGTATGCGCGCCTCCTCGAAGGTGCATAGATAGCTCCTATCTGCACGAGTACGGCACTGCAAGGAACGACTTTAGTTTGGGAAATTGTCCCGCGCCTCCTTTCCTTCAATGGCGCATGCACAGAGGTGGCATTAATCGACGACCTACCACAGGGTATCTACTACTGGCCTGCTCAGTCTGTAGGCACGAACAAGTTGGCAGCACGGGTCTGACGGGTCACCTCGACCAACCAGTACTCTACCAACTACAAGCAACAGCAATACTGCCCAGCTATAAACTTCGAACTTTGGATGCCAGACGAACATTGCAGGTGCTTTACTATGGTAAGTGCACTGACAGAGTTCCGAACTACGGCAGGATGTAGACGAACTATGCTCCAGAGGTACCGCTCCTACACAAGCCACTCTACTACATTGCAGAACCCGTTCAGGCATCGACTCCCTCTATGAGCGTCTCCCAGTGAATACAGCGCACCGCAAAGCCCAAATCCTATTTGTATCTTTTGGAGCGAAAGCCATCTCATCCAGCTTGCTAACACCATCGATCGTTTCCTTGGAGAGGGACCACAGTTTGAGAGAAGTTCTCCGGAATCAGTCTGATCTGTATACTCCATTAAAGTCGTCCACAGACCTTCTCTAGCCTATCGATACTTGCTACCCGCCAAAGAATCAACTCAGAAGCCGGCATTATTCTAAATCCAAAGTAAACAGTCACTAGCGAAGGTCTTGCGCAGGTCATTACCAACAGAATATTGCTGGTTGATTCAAGATGGATGATATGGTCACTCACTTCTCACACGCCAGTACTGCCTTGTGGAGGGATGAGAGGCTACTTCTGGACTGTCGCACGCTCAGAGTTGGTTTGATACCATCTTTAGAGACTGAAACTATGTTCCGACCATTTCATATAGCGGTACATAACTCCCTCCCTCGGTCGAGCTACAGCAGATATGCAGTTCTGCGAAGCTAGGGTGGAGACTCTACAGAGTGATTCGTACACGAGGTCCTCGTCAGGTTTGGTGTCACGCGTACGCGTGACTGGCCCTGAACATTACATGCTTCCACACATTGACCGGCATCTACATCTCCGTATGGGTGAGTTAATTCCTCGAGGGTAAAAGTTCGTGATAACTTTTGGCCCTTGGAGGAAGCGAGTGTTGCGAAGTGGAATCATTGCACGCCCACCTTGATCATTGAAAGTAGGGAAGTCGTTGGTAATCAAGAGCGAGACGATGAATGGGCGAAAGGCGAGAGGTGTTGACGATGGCTTGAATGGCAGCATAGAAAAGGGAAGAATTACATCTCGCAATACTCAAACTAAATCTCAGTTCCCCTTTCACTTCACTTTCGAGCCTAAACGCTCATTAGTCAGTACGCGTTTGTCGGTCTGGCATTTTTCCATCGTTCATTTGTTTACCCAATCCATACCGCTTTGTGACTCAACACTACGAGTACATGTCGAATTCGGTTTGTAAGGCCATTCCTTGGACAGAAGGCTCCGAGAACCCACAAGTCATGGCATCAACTGCCGACGCAATACCCGCATCAGAGCCGCCAAAAGGGCTGCTACCAACAACCGTACGCCAGCCACTATCCTCACTACTATACCCAAAGATTGCAACAGCATCATCATCACATGAGGTCCCGCTTCAGTCGCCAACAGTCCCCCACCCAGGCAAGCGGCTACCATCCCCACCGAAATCCCCAGCAATCACGCATCCAGAATGGCCGCTATCAACTACTGCACCGAGATGTACACCAGTCTTTGTCTTGTTCCCCACTCCAGAACTGATGTCACCACTATCAACGACATCACCGTTTCCAACAAATCTGCCACCTTGTCCCCAACCTGCGCAAACCGGAAGTTTCATATCTCGCCTCTTCATGCGCGCACCTGCTCACCCATACGATGTGGAACTTGGTACGCTTCCGCAGCGCCGTATATGGGAGGCTCGCGTCATGACTATGGGAGACGACCAAAGGAGGAGGGATGCAAGGATGATTAGGATCAAGATTGCAGGAGCGGTATTGGTAATTATTGGGTTTTGGGTATTGGTGGGCCTGGAGGTCTGGAGGAGACAAAGAGGTGAAGGTTACGATGGGATCGAAGGTAGGTAGAGACGGTCGTAGACATGTTGGGATAACGGACCGAGGGCACGAAGCTGTATTTTCTCTTGTACATTACAAAAAAAAAGTCGAGGAACACAGCCTCTCTCCAAGTATGATCAACCACTAAAGCCTATGTTCTACATACATGGAACGTATGCGCATTGTGTACAACTCAGATCGGCGTTCAAGCCCGCTTTCACATTCACATTCACTTTCACCTTGGACATCGTTATTCGCATAAGTTTTGACCTACAGATTTCAACATGTTTAGCTTCTCTGCTCTCCACAGCGTCGTTACAAATTTTGAGGCTTTATCATCCAGCAGTGTCTCTTCGCCGGCCCCAGAGACGGTATCGACTGAACCATATAATATAGACCATATCACTCTTCAAATGGCAGATACAGAGCGAGAAGATGTTGTGTCCGACAAGAACCAATCCATTGCGGATTTTTCTGAGATACCTGACCACAATGCAACACCATACCATCACCTCGATCTCTCAACTACTCGCTACGTCCCCAACAACAATACTGTCATCACCGCAACGAAATTAGACACCTCAACATTGGACGCACCCAAAGACAAGACAAGCATCCGGTCTCAAGTCCCATCAGAGCGACACATTAATCGCGCCAACATCACCAACGTCAACACCAACGCCAGCGACGTTGAGCTGGGCCCACTGCCAAACTCGACCGTTACAACACGGTGTTACTACTCGCCGTCCTCCTCTTCAACAGCAAATACTCTTCAACGCCAACGCACTCGGAGGATCCTCCATCATGTCATGGTGGCTTTGGCCGGAATGGTGGTGATTGTTGTTGTGGCTTGCGCCATAATTTATGTGGTCGCTTCACTGAAGTTTTCGAGGGCATCGTGAGGTGACAGTGAGCGGGGGTGGATGACATGAGAGAGGATGAGATGGAAGACTGAGCAATTAGCGATCAGGAAAGAGAACTAGACAAGGTCTAGTTTCGACGGCTTGAGCAAATACAAAGACTTGAATAATTATCGCCAAAGAATTGACATTCGGGTTGCTAGATGGTATCATTTGCTGCGCATGCATGAGTTGAGTGCGTCGACTATTGTTGTACCTCTTCCACATATCCCAAGGCCTCTCCGACCTTGACCTTCATCCCCTGTTCAATATTCCACTTGAACCCGCCTTTCCTCTCCGTGCCAGTGAAGCCCTCGTCAAGACTGGGTCTTAAGCCCTTTGGCGCCTCGAAGACCAGTACGATGGTGCTTCCCAGCTGGAAACCACCCATCTCTTCACCGCGCTTGAGAGAGTGACCACCCAATACGCGACTAGCTGAGGTGTAAGAGGCCTCGGCGAATCCCGAGTAAGGTTCACCTCGCGCAGCAGCTTCTTCGGCGGCACGGTCGGCGGCAGTATCGGTGGTGAGGCTGTTGGTGCGGAGTTCGCGATCGAAGTTGATCTTGATGGAGCCGACGTTGGTTGCGCCGACAGGTGTATAGGAGAAGAAACCCCATCGCCAACGACCGAGTAGCACGACGCGCTCGTTCAATGTGAACAGGCCGGGCATGGTGCGTTGCAGGTATGGCGATACGCTGTACAGTTCACCAGCGAAGTGGCGACGCGATTCGACGACCCACGATACGGGAGAATGGAAACGGTGGTAGTCTCCTGGTGCGAGGTATACGACGCAGTAGTAGAGTGCTGTGGGTGTCTTCTGAGACGCGGGAGCCCACCAGGGGCGCTCAGCTTCACTCAGGGCCATCTCTGCGCGAACCTCAGCTTCTGAAGAGGCGGCTGGTGCGGTAGATTGATCGGTTGGCATTTCGGCTGGTTTTCCGCCTTTTGGCCATGGCCCCGAGAACAGGTTGGGGAGAGTGTAGGAGATGCCGTTCACGTTGGCAAATTCCTCGTCGGCACGGACCGTGTCTTCTTCGTCCTTGGCTGTCTTTTCGTGCTCGCTGGCAATGACCTGCGAGCCTGCGACGTTCTGGGCGGGCGTACTTGGCTTGGTGGAGCCTAGGAGGGCGTCCAGACTGTATGTCACGCCCTTGACTTGCTCGACTTCGCCGTGCTCGATGGTGCCGAATTGGATGACCTTGCCGTCTGCGGGGGACAGGACGGCGTTGGGGTTGGGATCTAGAGGGCGGACGCCGGGTTTGAGGGTGCGGTAGAAGAAGGCGGCGAGATTGGGGTAGACATGGAGATCAGGCTCTGAGACCTCGGAGAGACTGGCTGGTCAGCACGCAACTTCTCCCAATGGCAACATTTCGAACGTTATCTTGGAAAACATCGAGTACTCACTTGACGCCGAAGATCCACGAGTAGAGCTTGAAGCCGGGGACGCGGAGGTAGTAGGGAATGTCGATCTCGTTGAAGCGCCCCCAGACGCGCGAGAGAGCCTTGAGCGGCAGCGTGGACATGACCTGGACTGTCCATGGCCCGCTCGGCCGTATCCTCTCGCGCTTCTTGGGCCGGCCCTGGCTGTCTGGCGCGCCCTCGTCGCCATTCTGCCTCTCGACCTCTGTGTGCTTTTCCCTGCGCTGTATGCGGTACAGCTGGAATGCGCCGAGGAAGCCAATGCCCAGGGCTATCGGGATGGGCTCCCACTTGATCTTGGTCTTGTTGAGCGCCGCGTTGAGCCGGGACCGGAACGACTCTTTGCGGTGGAAGTTCTGCTTGTCACATGTTGCGCGGGTCGACGAGAAGGTGCGTGAGGGGACCGAGAGGCGCGCATTGGGGCATGTGTGGGTAGCGAAGCGCGGGCGCAGAGGAGCCCGCATGAGCTGGCGTGAACAGGGAGACGCCATGGCTGTGGCTTAATGCATCGCCAACGAGCAATTCCCCAGCAAAGATGGCAGGCGAAGGCGTCGCGTGGTGGAGGGAAAATCGACCTGCTCGGTTGACCAATGACGTATCCACCTGCGACGCCTCTCTAGCGCGCAACGGCCATGGCTCCGCACGTCGCCATCGTCCACCGTCGACTGCTGCATCGCGTGCGCCCAAAGTTGCAACATCTGGCACATCGGGACGGCGGCCCAAGTTGACGTTTGAACTGCTCTGGCAACAAAGAAGACCACCGTAGATGGCAGGCGTGACCGTGGCTCCCAAGGTTGTTGACACCGAGCTCTAGAACGGACACGTCGTCACTTCTCTACTCCCATCTATCTGCACACTTCGCCTCTCCCCATAGTCTGCCGCTACCCACACAGCGACCATGGCGGAAGAAGCGCAGACCATCAACCTCAAGATCCTCTCCCCCTCGACTGAGGTGGAGGGCGGCGTGAATCTCGCAGACGTACCCGCTTCAACCACCGTCAAGGAGCTTCGCAGCCGCATACAGGATGCGGCGCCCTCCAAGCCTGCACCTGAACGCATGCGCCTGATCTACCGGGGGAGGGTCGTGGCCAACGATGCCGACACACTAAGCAATGTGTTCGGTGTTGACAACGTAGGATCGCCAATCGCAAGCAGCAGACATGGGCTAACAGTGAATGTAGATTCGTGAGAGCAAAGACCAGAGCCTCCATCTGGTACTACGAGAGCTCCCTACTGCTGGGAACCCTTCAGCATCACCTGCTCCGCCGTCTTCAACCGTTCCGCCCAATCTTGTTCGTCCCCAAGCTCCAGCTCTGCCTGCAAATCCGCTTCAGACGAACCCGTTCAGGACGCTGCCGCAGACTCGACCAAATTCAATACCACCATTACCGCAACCCCACCAGCACCATCTCCCGGGAGCCCAAGCACACGTGATCCCCATTCCTCTGCCTCAACAGGTACAGCACCAACTTGCTCACGCCATGGCACAACAAGGACAACAGGATAGCGAGCGAGTTCCAAACGCGACATCTGAGCAGCCTGGACAAGAGACACAGCGACCTGCTGATGCCGCTCAATCGCCGCTTCCCGGTGCAACGCCCCTGCCAGCAATGGGGCTACCCAATCTTCCCGGCCATGGCGACCAACCACTGCGGCGCGAAGGTGTTGGACCCAATGGGGCGCGGTGGACAGTCACATACAACCACGTCAACTTACCTGCGCGAGTTCAGCCGCCTGTTCCTGCATTTGCTCTTCCACATCCACTGGGTTTCGCTCGTCCACCAATTCCACCAGGCGTTCTTCCCTCAATGGGCCATGACAGTGCACAGCGCTTATTGCCACGGATTCAGACCATCTTCCAGGAAACACAACGGGAGATGGAAAATGTGCGTACGCTACTACAGCCCACGCGCGAGCCAAGCACACAAACCGATCGACCTTCGATATCAAACCACCTCCCCTTACAGCTACCTATTTGGCGAATTGACTACATACGCCAACACCTGAACACGATCAACCAGAACCTGAACGTTGTCGAGCGGGCCCTTTCCCTCCTGCCTACCGAACCGGAAGTGGTAGCGCTACGACGTTCGGTTACCGAAATTAGGGTAGATGCGTTAGAATTGAACATCATACTTGATCGGCAACAGGGCAGTCCTATTTCCAGTCAATCAAGCACCCGAGCTACATCCACAGATCCGCCGACCGCTGGTGTATTCACCGGCACAATACCAGGTGCTCCAGTCATGACGCCAGCCGTGCCAACTACATCACAACCACGAGCACAGAATGCTACGCAGACTCCCTCTGCAGATGCACCAGCCGAGTTGTTCCTCTTATCCAGCCCACAGGGACCTGTTGGTCTTCTCTTTGACCAGCAAGGCACATACACTACGGCTCCTATGGTTTCCACAATGCTATTCCAGAGCTTCACAACCCAGTTTTCCCAGAATAGACAGCTTATTGCTGGGCTAGGGCAGCACATGGCACAAGGATCGACTCAGCTGCACAATCAACTGGCAAACCTCCAACCAACACCAACACAACAACCAGAGGCTGGTGGTCAGGCTTACAATCAGGACCAAGCACACAATCAAATGCAGAACCAAAACGAGGATCCGATTGCAAATGCAAACGCGAATGCGAACCAACCAGAAGAAAATGATCGTATGATCAACGTTTTTGGGCACTTGTGGCTCATTTTCAAACTGGCTGCATTTGTCTACTTCTTTGCAGGAGGTGGTGGTCTCTATAGGCCCATCATGCTCGGTATTGTTGCTGGTGTGGTTTATCTGGCACAAGTAGGTGTGTTCCAAGAGCAGTTCAATCTTGTACGTCGTCACTTCGAGGCCCTGCTTCCCGTAGGGGCCCTGGCCGACCGTGTGGCTCAGCCCAACAACCAACGCCAAACCCAGCAGCGAGGCAACCTATCGCCTGAGGAAGCGGCTAGGAGATTATTGCAGCAGAGGAGAGACCAAAGATTTGGGTGGATTAGAGACAGCATGCGCACCGTCGAACGCGCTTTTGCTCTATTCGTTGCCAGTCTGTTTCCTGGTGTTGGAGAGCGAATGGTACACGCGCAGGAGGAAAGGGAAAGACTTGAACGGGTGGCAGCCCAAGAAGAAAGGGAACGTCAGGAGGAAGATGCGAGGAGAAGGGAAGAAGAGGCTCAAGCACAGCGCGAGCAGAGAGATGAAAACAAGGCTGGAAACGATCTCGCGACGCATGAGAGATTGGATTCAAGTGCGAGCGCCAAAGGCAAAGAGAGGGCGGTAACAGTGGAAGACGAACCCTCAGGCTCTGCTTCTTGATATTGGCGTGCAGTTTCATTACACTCAAGTAGCAGTTTCCAAACAGATACCCATGCTTAGACGTCAATACATACATCATACCCTCGGTCCACGGGGAGTATATCTCATCCGGCGCTACATTGCCTTTGACATACGATACGTCTCTGACCGCCGACCAGTGGCGAAAGCGCACGCGATGTTCACGGCGAGTCCAGCCTGGTTGCATCTTGTCGCAATGCGTGGCCGGGCCTGGGCAAGCTTCAAGTCAGCGGAAGTTATTCCGAGGTTTGAAGCTGGGGCGCCTGCCATGTACAAGACCAGGGTCCATGCTAGCGCACAATCAGCTAGCACACCTCCACACGCACGCGGATGCACCGAGGAGCTTTTCGGCGCGTTTCGTCTTCCTTTGTTCCGCCTTGCGTCGCATACCATGATCTTTGGGTCTGTTGTAGACATTGTTTCTGAGGCTCAGTGAAGAGAAAAAAGCCCAACTCAAATCCCCAGCTATAGAGACTTCGTGCGGCCATCCAAGCTATGCCGGAGACGCCCAGTTCAGACTACAGAACGGTCATATAGCGTTGCCGAACATAATAGGGCAAGGTCAAAGGAATGAACGTCAAACAAGCGGCATGTCTCAACTGCCGCAAAAGCAAAATTAAATGTCGGCGCACAGAAGGCGCGCCGATATGCGAGCGATGCCAGAACGTCGGCATTGAGTGCATCATTCCGTAAGTGTGCCTGTACGAACTGCATGTGAGATACACACTGACTTCGCATACCTTCATCTAGCGAGTTTCATATTGGTAGACAAAAGGGTGTAAAAAAGTAAGCGATCAGTTCTGATCATGCCAACTAGGCTGACAATCTGGAAGCAAACGATCAGGCTTAGAGAAAGCGATATACCAGGTCGAGGAAGCCATTAAGAAGAGGAAGTCGGATGCAGCTACGAGTCAGAGTACGCTGCAGCAGCTGCAACAACTCCTAAACGAGGCACAAAGGGACGAGGACTCGAACCAGAACCAGAACCCGGACACGTCTCCGGCCTCAGAGGTGTACCCACAAGCATCAGTAAACAATCTCGTTGGCACTTCAAGCGATGACCAGCTCGCTGTTGAAGATGTCGAGAACCCGCTCCAGCTCCTCGCTCGGGCATCGGATCTACGGATTGCAACACCACAATCGTACAATCCGAGTACCGCCAGTCCAGAAGGCAGGTTCAATGGCAGCGAACAGAGCGCTTTTCTGGACGTTCATCATTTTTTCCTGCCCATGAAGGCAAATCTTGATCAGGGCTCAGGATTGGATCCGATCGATGTTGGTCTTGTGACCAAGGATGAAGCTGAGATGCTTCTACAGTAGTAAGTTCGGCATCGACATCTTCATTGCAGATACACCGAAGTGACTTGCAGAATCTAGTTTTCACAAGAAACTAGCGCATACGCGCTGGGGACTCGACCCGTTGGTACACACGTTGCCTTTTGTCCGGAACCGCTCAGCCTTCTTGTTCACTACGTTACTAGCTATGACTGCCATCTTTCTGCCAGAAACCTCTGCTCTGGCTAAGCGGCTACTACTGCATCGCAGGTTTCTGGCAGAACAGGTCATCACTCGAAAGTACAGATCTGTCGAAATCGTGCTAGCTTTCATGGTCAGTATACCTTGGATGCCTCCAGGGTCGCATGCGAGCGATGATGATACCAGTCTCTACTTGGCTACAGCTCTATCCATCGCACTGGACTTAATGCTGGATAAAGTAATCACACCGTCTATATCTTTCGACCAGGAAGTCGTTAGGCAGATACCGAAGGCTGAGTGTCTCCACGCAAGAAAAGCACTGGCTATGGACGGCTTCGAAGATGTCGACCCAAACTCGGAATGGGGCCAGCGACTTCTGCGGCGCAGAGAAAGGGTCTGGATCTCCCTGTTTGTATTGGAACGCGGAGTCTGCCTAGCCCGCGGCCGCAGCTACTGTGTTCCCAAAACGTCTTTGATTCAGTACTGCGACAAGTGGCACTTCAATCAGTACGCTGATGCCCAGGACGGACCGCTCATATCGATGGCAGTACTCCGCCGCGATCTTGATGACCTCTTTGCTGAGGTGCGAACGCGCTGTGACAACTATCGTCTTGTCGAGGTGGGCTCAAAGGTCGCCCAAGAAATTGACGGGTCTGTCGAAAGCTTCTTCGATAGCTGGTCTCGAG